CCCCCCCCGCTGCCCCAAATCCCCATCTAGGCCCATGCGGTTTGGCTCCCATCCGCAGCGGTTTTGCTGGGCTGGGTGCAGGACTTGGCCCTGTCCTTGCAGCACGAAGGGAAAGAAGCCCAGGCAGAGCTGGCCTTTGGGATGTGGCCACTGGGTCCCACCCCAGGAGCGCCAGCGGCACCCATGGGTGCTGAGCCTCCCAGCACCCTCAGCCACGGGAGACTGGGGACGGCTGGGGGTGCCACCATGGTGTTACCTCTTGGCCAAGACCCCTCTTTGGGGCAGATTTGGGTCCCCGTTGCCTTCAGGAAGTGGCACGACAGGCAGCATCTACTAAAAATGATAAAGAGTAAGGAAAACCACCCCAAAAAATCCCAAGAGCAAGAAAGATTTGGGTTCCCAGCTTTATACAACCCCCCAGGGCTGGTCTCACCTTTCCCCACCATCGCTTACCAAACTGGTCCCCTCCAGACACCGATGGGCAGGATCAGTCCCCTGGTTATTCCACCATCATCCCCCAAATTTGGGGTACCATTACCCCAATCCCCTTCCCTACCCCCTCAATGGATCTCTTACCCTGGTGGGGTCCCTGCTCTGGGCTCTCTCCGGGCTGGGATCTGACCACGGAGTGGGGGACAGCTCGTCCTTTATAATGTCCCCGAGGGAGGTGGCACCTCCGAGGAGGTGGAGCTCCTCCACGCCAGCAGGACCCATCCTGCCCGTGTCAGCTCCCCGCACCTCGAAAGGGGGTGCAGGATTAACCCAGCGCCTGGTCCCCGCGATGAGCATCTTATCCCAGCCCTGGGGAGGTGGGCGACCCAAGATCACCCCAAAATAATTGGGAAAGGGGCAACGCCAGCACAGATGCGTGACTGACTTTAAGCTGGACATGCATGGGATGGAGAAACTGGGGTGTTAAGCCCAGCCCGTCCCAGGATGCAGGATGTGACCCCCAACATCTCCTGCAGCAATGAGGACACGAGGCTGAGCTGGGATGATGCTCCAGGCTGACAGGAGCCTCCGCATCTGGGCATCGAGGTCCTAAAAAGCACCAGGAGCTGATAACTGGGGGTTTTTTTATCCACACTTATCTCCCCAAGACGCATCCCAACCCTGCCTGTGGGGGTCCGGGCACCCCCAGACCAGCTGTAGGGGCTCTGGGATGGCGATTTTCCCCTCCACCCCACACCGCAGCGGGACGGCAGCCGGGGTTGAGCAGCTGGGATGTCACACAGCAGATGCTGAGCCCCGTTTCCCACCCAGTAACACAGACCCCAGCACTTGGCTTGTCCCCACCAGGGACCAGGACTCACAGGCTGCCCAACCCCAGGTGGGTGACACGGACCCGGCTGCCCTCCCTGCCGGCCACGCTAAGTGGCAGATTTCGAAGCAAGGCAGAGGGGACAAGAAGAGGTCACGTCTTTCGGGCCCTGGGCTGCCTAATTCCCAATTAAGTAGGCGCAGGGAGGGACCGAGGTAATGGTCTCGATAGACGTAAGATTTGTCCGCAGCAGAGGAATTTATTCAAGGCAGGAAGCTCTTAATTGCGGTAACGAAGGCAAGGGGTCAGGGTGAGCAGGACTCTGCATGATTGCATCAGCCTTCGGCCCCATCCTCTGTGCCATTTCTCTGGGGGGGTCCTTCACCTGCTGATGACATACATGGTCCACGGCATCACATTCAAGCCCCCATGTGCAGCTCCAGGGCAAAAGCAATGGGGAAATTTGGGTTTTCAGGCCTTTGCCGATGAGGTTTGGTGTTTTCAGGACGCCTCGGTGCTGTTAGACAAAAGCAGGCGAGGATGGGCTCTGTGTCACCAGCATCCCAGAGCAGGACAAGCCCAGCACTGAGCATCCCCCAAAGGCCAGGCAGAGATGCGTGGAAAGGAGCAACGTGGCGTTTCCCACCCCAGGTGCTCCTGGAGGACAATACTGGTTTGGTTTCCCCCCCCCACCAGATGGGATTTGAAGCCAAGGGACACACAAAGCCCCTGCTCACCTCACTCCCGGGAGGACACGTCCCACCTGGCCACAGAGATGCCTGCCTTCATCCCTACCCAACCCACGTCGGTGAGGTGGGACAAGCCACAGCTCGGCAGCCCTAAGGGGTTGGCAGAGAAGGGACCCCAGCCCCAAACAGCATCCGCAGCCTCCACACGTTTCCTCTTTCCCGCCATCGGAGTCATCACCAAGGAGAAAACCAACACCTTGGCCTTGACCTCACGTCCTCGACCTCTGGCTATTAGCAGAGCCCTTCGGTGTGGAAAGCAATGCCTTATGGTTTTTAAGGGAAATGGGTGACGCCGGTGCTGGCATGCATAAGCAGGAGCCAGCACTATATATACACGACCGCTCGCCGGGATGAGAAGCCGAAAAATCTCCGGACCCCACAGCCATGCCCTGCAAAGCGCTCGCCGTCTGCCTCCTGGGGCTCCTGGCTCTCTCCTCCGCTTGCTACATCCAGAACTGCCCCATCGGGGGCAAACGCGCCGTCCTGGACATGGACATCAGGAAGGTACGTCCCTGCGGGCCGGGAGACCTCCTAACCCCCTCCTTCCCTTCTCCCAGCCTTCCTGGGGCTTCCGCAGGGAAGATGCTGGCAGGAGGGAGGAAAGGACCATGGGAAAGGTTCAACCTGACCCCAGATGTTTTCTCTACTAACTCTCCCCACACCTTTCTTCCCTGAGCAGTGCATGCCCTGCGGTCCCAGGAACAAGGGCCACTGCTTCGGTCCCAACATCTGCTGCGGAGAAGAGCTGGGCTGTTACATCGGCACCTCCGAAACCCTGCGGTGCCAGGAAGAAAACTTCTTGCCGACACCCTGCGAGTCGGGACACAAACCCTGTGGAGGCAGCGGAGGGAGCTGTGCGGCCCCCGGCATCTGCTGCAGCAGTGGTGAGGGCAGCGCCGGGTCCGCGTCTCTTTTGGGACCCTTATCACGGGGGTCCTCACACACATGAGGGGGAATTCAGAGTTATGGTATAGAAGTGGGAGAAGGGACGTTCACCAAGGGACTTTCTTTGTCCCATCCATCTGTCCGTCCATCTCCCCAACAGCCAGGGCCAGCACACTCAGGGTAGACTTGATCCTGACCCCAGGGAAGACGCTAACAGACCGTGAGGTTTCAAGGAAAGGGAGAAAGCAGAGAGCAACCAAATTGAGGGGACTGAGCAAGCGGTAGGATTCCTGCGGCGCACAGCAGCCCATGCCCCCTCCTGCTTTCACGATGGTTTTCCAAAAATCCCAGCCTCCTCCCTAAGTTAGACGCTACCAGAGATCCTGCTACAAATGCTGGGGAGCTACAGGGCACCAAGTGAACACGATCTCGCTCGATGTGATTAAAAAACAGCAGGGGGGGGTTCTCCGAGGGCTGGTTTGTGCCATCTTATTTCACGCGGTGCTTTCCCCTTTCTCTCCCCACACAGAGGGCTGTGTGGTTGACTCATCCTGCGACCAAGAAATGCTGTTTGCGTAGACCACCCGGGAGAGAAGAACCTGCAGGATCCCTTATCTATCGAGCTGTACCAGCCTCACATCAGGCCAAGAACAGACAAGTCAAGCTCTGTGACTCAGATTTAAGTGATGATCTTAATTAGAAATAAAGCTTGTACAGAAAAAAAAAAGTCTTGAGTTTTTTGTGCGCTTGCCTGCTTTAGGTGCAGTCTCAGGAGGGCTGGCTGGAGAGAAAAAAGCTATTTTTAGGAAAGCATAAATAAAAAATAAGGATTTAAGGTTAATTCCTGCAGCTGGTGTCTTATCCGAGTGAGGGAGGGCAGAGGGACCTGTGGTCAGTCCGCCTGGGTTCTGCTGAACCACAGCAAACTCCAGGCTGGTGTTGGGCAGCCCCAAACCAGCGGGTTTGGGGCAAAGCTGAGAGAGCAGCTTGGTCTGCAAGACCACAGTAAGCCAGAAGCACCAAAGAGGACCCAGAGTAACTACAGAATTATCTACAACTTAAGCCCCAGGGGATGAGTAAAATAAGGCTGAAGGGGGGAATAGAAAAGGAGACACATAAAGCCACTATCATTTAGGCATCCTCTGCACATTTGCTCATTTAGCCACACCAACAGATGTGCAAAGGAGGGTTTAAAGTGTGAACAGGAAAGATGGGTCCCTCCACCACGGCAGAAACCAGAGGAACAACAAATTCTTTCCCCCAACAACAAAAAGCGGAGGGTCAGCATTTCCTACAAAGCCATTCAGACCTCGTTTTCTTTCAAAAGCATCTAGAGGGGTCGACATGCAAACAGGGCCAGGGCTACAACGGGGAGCTCAGAGCCAGCATCTGCCTGGGACCATTCCTGCTTTCCCCCCACTACATGCTTTGTGTGAAAGCAGGAGGGATCCAAACACGTGGGAGGTGGAATCGCAGAGAGTCAGAGCAAGAGGCACAGGAACACCAGCAGCTTCGCCGCCGCCTCGCAGGGCTGAGACAGACTGCTGGTGCCTCTGCTGCTGCCTCTGCTGCTTGTGGCAAGCCCAAGTTTCTCCCTCACCCTCCTTCCCGCAAGCACTAACCCTTCAGAAGAACCACAGCCAGACGTGCAGGCTTTCTCCAACAATTCTGTGGGCCATTTATACATTAAAAGAAAGAAACCAGTTCGTAAGCAGAGCCTCTGGGCAGAAACCAGGCCAGCACCGCTAAGACAACACCGTCCGTTTGACAATCCGCCCCTCCTTGTCGATGGCGAAGTTGTAGTTGCGAGGGTTGTCCAGGCACTCCTCGATCCGCGCGTCCAGGTTCTCTGGAGTGATGAACGTTTTGGCTTCCTCCTGAACGAAGAAGTACTGGCTCTTAATGCACGTTAGCGAACGAGTCACTATGGGCAACGCAGGAGCTGCTGGTGCCCACAGAGCTCATGGATCTCCAAGAGACCCTGAGATGGCACCAGCATCGCCAGGATCTCAGCAGAAGCCAAGTCCAGAATGAGGAAACCTTTATTCTCTCACTCAGGATTATTCCACCCTGTTTTCAGAGCTCTCACTCAACCTCTATCCCATCCACATGCTGTCAACACTCCTGGAAGGTGCTAACACTTGTGTTCCCAGCTACCAACACAAAAAAAATCTCAGGAAAATAAGCCTACGGCTTCCACATTGCTCCCACAGGCTGCCATCAAATCCCTGCTGGCAGCGTTCCTCCCAGGAGGCACCAGCGGCTCTTACCTGCAGCTGGAGAACTTCCTTCTCCTTCTCTTTCAGGAAAGCCTCCACTAGCCTGGCCTTGTTCTCAGCAGCCTGTAACTTCCGCCTCTTCCGTTCTTCCTCTTCTTTCCTAATTCGTTCCTCTCTGCCATACGGAAAGAAAAACAAAACAACAAGGCTTTGGTGAATGCTCACACTCTGCCGGGTGGCACTTTGGTGAGACACACTAATCCCTTGGGATGCAAAGCCACCAAGTTTGCAAGTTTGAGCACAGACAGAACAAACGGGAAGGAGCAGAGCGGTGGCACCGGGGAAGAGAGCCCCTGCTGTCCCCAGTGTGGGGACGAAAAGAATTCCCCTCCTGGGAGAGAAAAATTAACACAAAAGCTTTCAAACAGACCGGCACTGACAGGCGTGCTGTGGACCTGAGACCTAGCAGGGTTTAGGAGCTCCAAGTCGGAGCACGCGATTCTTCCAGCAGGACCTGGATGTGGAAGCTCGAGTGCTTTGTGATGGGCCAAGGGACAGCTGGTGGGGACGGGACAGCCGGGCTTTTCCTTTTAACCTTCTCCCACTTTTGAGATTCAGCAGATGCTGATTTTCTTGGAACCACTGACACGCTTCCCATGTCTGACCAGAGGATGGCTCCCTGGGAGCGGCGAGGAGGGAACGTGGAGAAACTTAGCGGGAAGTCATCCAGAGTTCCAGAGCTCGGTGACTTACACCTCAGCAGCGGGAGGGGCTGGAAACATGACCTCTGGGCATGCAGATTTATTTTAAAAAGGTCAAAATTTAGGTCAAGTGTCTCTGTAAAAATTAAGCCTGACTCTAACCGACCCGGGTGTTGAATGTAGTTCTGCGCAAGTAAAAGTCAAAGCCACGAAGGGAAGCAGCCCCCTCCCGACTTTGTGTGGGGCCAGGCTGACCTGCGTGCCCGCTGCCGGGCATTCTCTGCCTCGTTCCAGGCCATCAGGCGCTGGTGCTCCTCTGTCAGCTCCGCTGAGTCTTCCTGGGACAGCAGCACTTCCCGCTTCTTCTGCAGCACCTCAGCCCTGAACTCGGCCCTACCGAGGGGAGGCCACTGAGCTCTTGCCCGGGGCTGGGCGCCTAGGAGGTTCTCCCAAACCTGCCCCATAACAGAGCCAGCCCCACCACCCTCACCCTCCCCTGCCCCACCGCAGTCCCAGTCCCACTGCCCTAGCCCTTCCCTACCACACAGTAACCTGGGGTCTAGCCGCCCCTGCTCCAAAATGGCCCCAGACCCATAACCCCTCCCTGCCCCACAGCCAGCCACAAGCCCCACAGACCCACATCTAGCCCCCCAACCCACCTCTGCACCACAACAGCCCCAAATGGCCACAAGTCCAACCCTCCCCTG